GGGCAGGGAATTCACTTTGAGGGCCCAGGCCAGGCTGGGTTTCACATAAGAGCCTTGTTCTGAGTATAGAACCTGCTGTATCCTCCCCTATTTGGGATAGGCTAGCCTGACCCTGGTAGGAGAGTGGATGGAGTCTGGGCTGGAGGTGTGAGACCTCAGTGCCTCCACTGGCAGTCGGAGGGGCAGCGGCCCCAGAGGCAGCGCAGGGATGGCCCGGGTGGCAGTGTGCTCGGGTGACAGGGCTCTTGGACCGCTGGTGGCGTGGAGCCTGGTGAGAGCAGGGATGACAGAAAGCATGGCTCTTCTGATGTCCTTACCTCACACAGTCAGGTGAGGAGACGAAGTCTCCGGGAAGGGAGGGAGAATGGGCCAGGTTACCCAGTTGGCAAGTTCTGGAGCCGTCTCTGGACCCCACTGCAGGTTTCACCTTGGGCCTCTGGTGAGGGGCAGGATGCGCCACTCCAATATGTGCCCCTTCGGCGTGAGGGTTATTTTGAACTGAAGGCAATTTAGACCTAGAAAACTCAGAATGAGCTTTTTTTTTTTTTTTAAACCTCTCCTTTAACTGCCTAAAGTGTTAGGGGGAGAGGATGTCCTGAGCTAATCCCATGCAGGCTTTATGGACTCCACCCCCACTCCAGACCAAAGCCCTCTGGGACCTTGGGAAAGACAAATCCTGTCACCACCAAAGGGAAGGTGGCTGGGACCTGAGGGTGGAGTGAAGCAGCCAGGTTGGGTATCAAACCAGACACGTGGGCCTTGGGGGGGCCCTTTAGACTCTCCGCCAGCTCGCGGCTCTCGGCCTGCTCTCAGAGGGCCATTGGGCTTCCAGGTCGGCGGATCGGGTAGGATGCATTTAAGACTTTATTTCCCTGTTTTCTCCCTGAGTTGTACATTTCCTCATTTCCCCTTCCCTTGTGAATAAACCTTTTATTAACCTTTTGTGTGTGCCTGTGGTGGAGTATTAGTAAGTCCCTTTTAAGCATGTGAGTGAGGACCCACAGCCAGGCAACCCGTTTTATATATCGGGGCTGCTCCATAACAAAAGGAATAAGTGGCGCCTAATAAGGAGAGGACTGTTTCCAGTGCTAACTCTGGATTTCAGAAGAGACTTAACCTGTGCAGCTGGGCAAACACCTGTTTACACCCGCACGCTCATCTCATCTTCCTGTGAATTGTCCTCCTCCTCCACTTAGTTTTTTTTTTTTTAGATAAATTGTAGTAATTTAATGAAATTGAAATGAATAAATGATATTTATATTTCATTGTGGTTCAAAATATAATGTTGAGTTATGGTATGATGACATAAATTTTTTAACATGCAAAATGGGGCTATTTGTCCTCCACTTTGAAGCCCCAAGCCCTGCTTAAGCTCAGATGGCCGGGGAGCCTCATTCACTGACTGCCTTTGAGTTTCCTATTTTTATGTGTCTCCTATACATACAAAATTAAAAAAAAAATACCCCCTTGGGTCCAGGCTCCCTGTTTTCTATTGATGTGGTTTTTGGAGCTAGTGCGGGGTCCTTGGGTTCACTCTGGGAAAGGTGTCACCAGAGCTCCCGTTTCAGGGGCACGCGGCGAGTTTCCCCGGAGAGTGTCTCCATGAGACAGAGACAGTGGTTATATTTAAAGAACAGGTTTATTAGGGAAAGGGACAGGTTTGCTGAGAGAGGCCTGCATGTTTGCAGGCGGGCGGCCTTGAGGAGAGTGGCCACAGCTGAGGGAGGTCAGTGAAGATAAGTCCCGGCATGGTGCAGGTCACGGGCAGCCAGAAAGCTGCTGCCCTGCAGAGGAGAGAGGGTTGGTAAAAAGAGGCACCTGCATTGTCACAGGTGGGCAGTGGGAGGGCTGCCCCGAGCCTGTGCAGGGACTGCACTGAAACAGTCCTTTTCTGTTTGGGAGGGGTCATTCCTTGTGAGCCTTCAGTTCGTCGTTGATTTTGGATAACCATGCAGAATCCAAAAGGGATCGGAGATACAGGATGGGGAGTAGCGATTCCAGGATGGGCCCAATTCTATATCTTTACCCTCAGGTCTGTGCTCCACTCCCCATTGCAGTCTGATCCTGCTTGGGCCTCATGCCTTGTGATAAGGCATAGGTGCCTAAGGGTCCCGACCTCTACCGCTGGGTTAATGGTCATGTTATTTCCCTCTACCCCACCTCCTTGTGAATCAGGTTCTGGTCTTGGGCACCTCCTTTCCAGTCTTTCTATTCTTGTCCTCTATCACTATCATTTAATTAGTAGGCCAAAGAAACTAGAAGGGAATTTTTCCTCCTTTCCCTGGCATCTCGTGGTGGTGGCCAGGCAGGGTTAGCTCTTTTTTGGGGCTGGATCTGTGTCCAGACTCTTGATTTTATTTTGTTCTGCCTTTGTTTGCATCTTTGTTTTTTCTTTCCCTTTAAAAAATCACAGAATTAATACATAAAACCATTCTTTTCTTTTTTTAAAGATTTATTTATTTATGCATACAAGAGCTGGGGTACAGGCCAGAGGTGTGTGGGGTGAGAGGATTCACCAGAGACAGAGTGGAGAACAAAACAGGTATATTGAGTGAAATACACCACTGAGGGAAGCAGCAGGCGAGTCAGGAGAGGTCTGCTGTGCCATGTGGCTTGCTCCCTGGCCGGGGATTGAACTTGTGCTGCAGAGGCTGTGGATTGCTTCATACGTTGTGTCTTAACCCTTGTGCTACCAGGGAGGCCCCATAAAACCATTCTTGCTAGGAAATCAAACATTATAGTTGATAATAGGTAGCACTTAGTATTGTATATAAGTGTACATAATCCATTTAATCCTCATGCAACCCTACAAAGCAAGGGTTAGCTCTGTTTTATAGAAGAGAAGACAGAGGCTTTTCGGGAGGCTTCACAGCTGGACATGGAACCAGTCCAGAGCTCATGGAGAAAGTGGCAGACCCCCGAGAGTAGCCCTACCCCACTGTCTTACTTATTGTTTGTCTTCTTTCAGACCTTTCTCACGAATTTACACTCATGCAGAGCTTGTGTGTGTATGTTTTGGAACATAAATAGTATCATTTGGTATTTATAGTTTGCAAATTGCTTCCTTCACTGAACAATACATCTTGGAGATATTTTCATGTCAACACATGCCAACACATTATCCTTTAAAAATGTGCAGTGTATTCTCTTGTCTATTTATTATTGAGTATATGCTAGTGCCATAGACTAAAGGCTTGTGTCCCCCCCTTTCCCCCATTCATTGGGTTGAAACTTACTGGGTGCCTTCGGGAGGTGACTAGGTCATGAGGGTGGAGCCCTCCTGCATGGGATTCCTGCCCTGATGAAAGAGCTCCCGGAGGCTCCCTCCGCCTGCCATGGCAGGACACGGCAGACTGTGTGTGAACCGGGAAGAGAGCCCTCACCAGACACTGAAGCTGCTGGCACCTTGATCTTGGACTTCAGAACTGTGAGGAATAAATTTCTGTTGTTATAGGTCACCCAGGCTGTGACATTCTGCTATTGCAGCCCAAATGAACTGAGACAACTAGTAATCATGAAGATGCAAATTTAAACAAAGGAGATACAGCCTTTTCACCTGGCAGGCTGGCAAACATTACATAGATGGCTACTGAGCATCAGCAAGGACAGGGGAGAGTGGTTGCTCACAGCCGATGGAGTGGACATGGGCCTGCCTTCTTGGAGAGTAATCTGGCAGCAGTAGCTATTAACATTTGCGTGGCACAGAGCTTTGTTCTGGCCACCAGTGCCTGGATCTCCAGCCTAGAGAAGTAAGTGCACACTTGAGGAAAGAGGCACGCCCAGCGCTAGTCCCTGTACTGCGCATGACATGGCAACGTCGAAGCAACCTGCCTTTCTGTGTCTCAGCTGGACTGTAAATTCCTGAGACCAGGCGCTGGCTCCAGTGCCCAGAGAGGACACAGACCTGCCCATATGCTGGGAGACCGGCAGACACTTGTTTTTGCTTTATATGTATCTATATATCTACATATCTATATCTATATATAAATCTTTTGATCCGGGCTCTGTGTTCGTTGGTTTAGCGGTCAGAACTAACAGCTTCTAATGAAAGATGATTGTAACCTGCCCCCTGTTTCCAGCTCCCAGGAAGCAACCACTTCCAATGTGTAAACCAGTTTTTCTTACATTTCTTGTATTTTCTCCAGATTTCTGTACTACTTGACTTAACTGCTATGTCTAGGTTTTTTTCCCCTTCTCATTTTAGGGCCTTCCTTTTGTGGAAGGGAAGGACTTCCAATTTCTATTACTTGTGTGGCACCTGTCTCCCAACTTCCTCTCTCTAGAGAATGTTAAATCTGCATTTTGAATTAAATCCTCATTCAATGTTTACATTATTACAGCTATGGAATGATTACAAGTATCCCCTGTTTTTCAAAAGTTCCTGTTAAGCTGCTTTTCTTTTACAAAACACCCACATCTGTGCCTGTTTGTTAACTGAAAGAAATTTGAAGAGGAATTTCATTTTTAGGACAAAAGACAAAAAGTGAAAATAGTGTATGTTTTATTTGCAGCAAAGGTTCTAGAGGCAGTCTGCCTCCCCTGCAGACAGGGTGGCACTGCCAGTCTCCTTTATACAGACTGTATTTATTATATATTATATAATATAAATCACATCACATCATATCACATGAGTTCCTCTTTTACTAGGTGTGTTATTTTAGATTTATGTGTTATTTGGTATGATTTGGTAGGTTATTTTTTGAGTCTGGGAATGCTAAAGATTTTTTTCCATGTAAATTAATAGTAGTTGCTTCTTTGCTTTATGCTTTTTCAGTTTATGAAAAGTTTCATAGGAATGCTCTACTTCTGAATAGTGGGGGGAAATCTGATTAGAGGTTCTTGTACAACTTTGGATTTTCTCTAAGGTTAATAGTTGTCTCTTTCATTTATTTTATCAATGCCAATTACAAATTATTCCTCAAATTCCGTGACAGAAATGAAAATCTCTGAATGTTTCAAACCCATGTGATAATTGTGTCATTTGTTTGACTGTTTTTCAGATAACCCTTGCAAGACTCCAGCCCGTGGCTCCTGCCTGGAATGTTGTTCTCTGTAATCAGCAGCCATTCTTCTGTGAGAACAACCCACCACTTTTTTCCAGGGAACCCTTGTACCCTGCACCCCATATTCTTGGATTCTTTCATTCTTTTGGGGCCATAGTTCTTCCAGTAACTTGCTGAGAAAGGATGACTAGGAGGTAAGTTTTCGAGACCTTGTTTCTCTGAAAATATCTTTATTTTGACCTCATATTTGATTAATAGTGTGGCTGACTCTAGGCTAGAAATCATTTCCCCTCAGAATTTTGAAGGTATTGTTCTATTGTTTCTGGCTTCCATTGTTGATGCCATATCAGATACCTTTCAGATTCAGAGGTTTGTATGTGACATGATTATTTATTTTGGAAGTTTCTAGGCTTCCTCTCCATTTCTTTATTCTCCGTTTCATGATGATGATTCCATGGGATGGCTTAAAATTAAAAAACAACTATTATTAGTTGTAAGGTTTAATTCATGATGCCATTTACTGGAGGATCTGTCAAGTCTTGGAATACATTTCCTTCAGTTCTGGACCAGCATCTTGTTTTCTTTTTTTGATGATTGCATGTATCTTTTTCCTTTATTTTCTTTATTTACAGTTCCTCTGTGTGAATAACAGACCTCTTGGATTAATGCTTGAATTTTCTTGTTTTTCTTGTCCTTTTTCTATTTTTCATGGAGATTTTGTCTACTTTATTTTTTGGTTATTCTGTGGATTGAAAAAAAATGTAGCCGTCTTTAGTTTCCAAGAGTTTTTTCCTTATTTTCTGAATGTTCATTTTTATTGCTGTCTTGTTCACATTTTATGAAATGTAACATACATTTCCTAAATTTGTTCTGTTTCCTGCAAGCTCTCTACTTCCTCTGGAATTCTTTACTTTCCCACTGTTTTTTTTTTTTTTTATTAATATTTATGCATACAAGAACTGGGGTACAGGCCAGAGGTATGTGGGGGGTGGTGGTGAGAGGATTCACCAGAGACAGAGCAGGGGACAGAACCGGCAGACTGACTGAAATACACTGCTGAGGGGAGCAGTGGGCAAGACAGGAGAGGTCTGCTGCTCCATGTGGGTTGCTTCCTGGCAGGGGATCGAGCTCATGCTGCAGTGACTGCGGATTGCTTCCTAGGTTGTGTCCTAACCCCTTGCACTACCAGGGAGACCCACTTTCCCACTGTTTGGATAGACTTTCTACTAGAGTCTTTTCACCAACATCCACCTGCTCTTTGGCTTTGCATATGTATGAAAGGATAAGACACAGGTATACCTGGGAAGCGCTCTGTGCTTGGGGAGTCTTGATGTTATAGGGCAACCCCGATATAAAATAAAACAGGTTGCCTGGCTGTGGGTCCTTACCCGCGCGCTTAAAAGGGACTTATGAATACTCCACTACAGGCACACACAAAAGGTTAATAAAAGGTTTATTTACAACGGAAAGGGAATTAAGGAAAATGTACAACTCAGGAAGAAAATAGGGAAATAAAGTCTTCAATGCATCCTACCCGATTCGCCGACCTGGAAATCCAAAGGCACTCTTAGAGCTGGCCGGACACTGTGAGCTGGTGGAGAGCCAAAATGGGGGCTCCCCTCCAAAGCCCACGTGTCTGGCTTTATACCAAACCTGGCTGCTTAACCCCACCCTCAGGTCCTAGCCACCTTTCCTTTGGTGGTGATGGGATTTGGAGTTCCCAGTGTCTTGGTTTTGGTCTGGAGTGGGGGGTGGAGTCTACAAAGCCTGTATGGAATTAGCTTTAGGACATCCTTTTCCCCTAACATTGACAGCTAGTGGACTTCCATTAGGGTGATTGGATGACTTGGCTGTTTCTGTTTGGGACTCCCTCGTGTCAGGATCGTTAGGTCTTTTTTCTTGGAGTGGAATTTTTCCATAGAGAAATACTCCCATTATCTGCCTGGAGGAAGGGCATAGATCTGGCTAAGAACTTTCTAGAAGCTTGGAGAAGAAGGGGGCAGAAGTCTTCACTGCTCAGCTTGTAGATATGTCCTTAATCTCCTTGTTTTTAATATTGTCCCTATGATATCATGATTTATAAGAAATTTATATTTTAGGCTTTCAGATGACCAAAATATATTTCTCATACATTTTGGTTTCCATCCACAGTCCTGGCTCACAACTCCCAGAAGCCATGGAATTTCTGTGTTGAGGGTGATAAAGGTGTCTCTTGTCATGATAATGAGGTGACTTTTTTTTTTTTTTTTTTGGGAACTGGTTGCCAGGGGAACCAACCATGTGATTAGAGGGTTGGAACCTCCAGTCTCACCCCCAGACCTCTAGGGAGAGGAGAGGGATGGAAGATGAGTTAATTGCCACTGGTCAGTGACTTCATCAATTATGTCTATCTAATGAAACCTCCATAAAACCCACAGGGAGGGGCTTCAGGGATCTTCCAGGTTGGGCAACCAGATTGCTTCCATGTGCTACCTTTTGGACCCAAACTCCATGAGGACAGACGCTCCTTCATTTGGGACCTCACCCTGTGCTTCTTTTCATCTGGCTTCAGCATTCTTTGTAATAAATTGATGATCTAGTGAGTGATTGAGTTTCCTGTATTCTGTGAGCCATTCTAGAAAATTAATTGAACCTGTACAGGGATTCATAGGACCCTCTGATTTAAGCTGGCCAGTCACAAGCCCAGATAACAGCCTGAGCTTGACACTGGCACCTGAGGTCTAAGAAGGGGGTCATGGGAGCTTCCAATCAGTAGCTGGTTGTTTAGAAGCTCAGGTAATGGTCTAGACTTGAGTACAGCATCCTTGGGAGGCTGAACCCTTAATCTGTGGGATCTGACTCTATCTCTGTGTACATAGAATTGAGCTATATTGACCTGAATTTTCATCACCTTGCCAGTGTTGGAGAATCGCCTGTTCTGGGGAAAGTCTCCACACACTTATGTTGCAGTTGGGTCCAGGAACCCTAGTCAACCCCTCCCCCTTTTAATTGGCCAAGTCTTCTGTTCTTTAGTAAAAAATTTGACTCAAACACTCCAGAGAGATGGCCTCCCATCTGAGAGTAGGGAGAGCAGGGAGGTTATATTGCTAGGATGTGGGGTAGGATTCCTGGTTTTTCATGGAGACTTTCCACAAGTCCATCTGTTTTTAACCCCACTTGTCCCCCGTTTCCTCAATTCCTGGGCCTTTCAGGGTTCTGGGTGGACTTGCTCATCCACACACAGGCTTAAGTTTCAGCTTTCTCTAATCTGCTATGCCAGTTAGCTCTTGCTAACCTGCTTTCTAGCCTCCGAACTATTGTAGAGTTACTTGTCTTCAGTCATCTTCTCTTTTCCTTGCCCTTGTGAGTTTCTGTCACTGTTAAGACTTTTCACTGCTATTTTGGGGGAGCTTTTCTTTTGTTGGGGAAGCAGAGATCCGTGTGCATGATTACTTCTCTGTGTTTGCCCTGTACACCTGTATTCCTTCTCTGAAATGGTAACATTAGCAGAGACATGTTATGTGTTCCCACAGGATGGCTTTACCAGGACATTGGGTACTTGCTGGCATGCTGTTGTGTGTTAGTAACCCAACTCAAATGGCTTAAACATTAAAGGGGTTTATCTCAGCTAAAGAGAAGCTCTGAGGTCCAGCTTTGGTTAATTCAGCAGCTCAACAATTTCACTGAGAACAGAAGTTCTTTCCACTTTTCCACTCCCCTTGGTGCCTTCCTGGTCAGAAAGTGGCTGCTGTGGTTCCACCTAGCCTCCACGGCCTTGGGTATAAATGGCCATAGGCAGGAGAGAGAGCATTCTTCATTGTTTTCGTACTCATGAAAAATGTGTAATTGCATGTTAGTCCTTTTGAGTTGTCATAACAACAAAATCATAGCCTATGTGGTTTATAACAATAAACATTTGTTTCTCACAGTTCTGAGGGCTTGAGAAGCCCAGGATCATAGCATGTGTGGTGAGGGCTTTCTGGTTCAGAGATGGCTGGCTTTTCACTGTTTCTTCATGTGGCTGGAGGGACGAGGGAGCTCTCGGGAGCCTCTTTTATAAGGGCTTGAATCCTGTTTGCGGGGTTCTGTTTTCATGACCTAATCACTCCCCATCTCCCTAAAGCCCCACTTACTACCACCATCATCTTTGGGGATTGGGAGTTCATCCTATGGATTTTGGCAGGACACAGATATTTAGAACACAACACGTGGTCTGAATAGGTGTTACATCCATAGGTTTGTAAATCTAAAATACATAAAAGGCAAGCAATAAACCCCCCCCCCCGTATTACTTTTATCTTCTCTCTAAAAATGTGCTTGTTCTTTTTTTTTAAACTGTATTTTAGGTTTATTTTTATTTTTTTTTAAGATTTATTTATTTATACAAGCACTAGGTACAGTCAGAAGCGTGGGAGGGTGAGAGAATTCACCAGAGCCAGAGTGGGGAGCAGAACAGGCAGACTGGTGAAATACACTGCTGAAGGGAGCAGTGAGCACAGCAGGAGAGGTCTGTCACGCCATGTGGAACCCTGGCCCACTGGCCAGGGATCGAACCCGTGCTGCAGTGGCTGCAGGCAGCTTCGCAGCCCAGTGCTCAACTGCTGCACCACCGGGGAGGCCCTAAAATGTGCTTATTCTTCTAGAATCTCTTTTATTCTTCTAGAATCTCTTTGTGCAATAAGGCATATTACAAAAATGAATATGTGGTATTATGTACCCCACTCTCATTTTCACCAAACAATATCATACTGTAAGTATTTTTTGACTGCCTTTTTTTCCCCTAGCAAAATATTTAGGTCCATAAAGTAAATCCTTAATAGTGCTTTGTAGTTGTATCATATTCCGTTATATGTTTATAACCTAATTTGTTTAACCAGTTCATGTTCTGTTAGATATTTAGGTTGTTTCCTGTATTTTTGCCATTATGATAAATTCTCTGTTCCAGCCTGGGCCTTGCAGGGCCTTGCTATATATCAGGGATCCTTAGCAACCCCTGGTTAGTGCCCCTTAATCCAGGCCCAGCCACCAGTTGCTTGAGAGCAGACATAAGCCCCAGTCTCGGCCTTGCAGGGCCTAGCTTTTCACCATGGGTCCCCTAGTCACACTTGGGGGTGAATCCTATTCAACACTTAGCTACCACTGCCTCTGCAGCAGACAACAAGCCCCAGTCTGGGCCACATTGGGCCTCCCATTGTACCAGGGATCTTCTTGCCCT